TATAACAGATTATTTACCAACGGGAACAGAATGCCTTGGCACGGGATGCCTTTGAGAGAGCTGTCCTAGTGCACTCGCTAATTCTGTATTTCAGAATCATTTCCACATTACCTTCTACTTCTTGTAGGTTATCTCAAACTCTTCCCTCTACTGGCGAAATGAAAGAAGTGACAAGTAGGTGAGATTATGTTGCCCTCTGGTGTCAGCCAACACAAAAGAAAGAGCTAGAACTCAGGAAGGGGATAAGGAGTAGAAGGAAGCTAGAAAAGGACACTCCATACCAGGAGGAAGATAGTGAGGGAAGGGAATGAAGAGGAAAGGAGGGAGGTGAGTGTGGTTGTGCCATACCCATTGGATCCTCTTCTCACAGGTGAATGATGGCATTTCAACTCCCCCTTGTCCGAGGAGGAGTGATACCACCATGGCTATTTGTCTAGTAAATCTGGTGCCTCTGTGATCTGTGACAGGGAAGAGTAGGTTTATGGAGGGATGGGGCTTGGCCTTTCTCTTTGGGGGACCCATAGGGACGAGAACTAGGTGATGGCCAAACATCAGAATTGTAGACACCTAATGAGAACCCACCTCTTCCTTGAGATGGAGACCAGCCAGAGATCTCCATTCCTTTTAGAGATTCCACCAGTAATGTCCAAGGCGGGCAGGGCCTCACTGTCTAGCCGGTTAGTGTAAGCCTGGGCTTTAGGGCCTTGTGGGGGAGGGGAAGTGACAGTAACACTGGCCCCTGGAGCTCGTCCTCACCCAGCCCTTCCCCCTCCTGCCATGTTACCAAACTTTGCCCACCCTTTGGCTGTGCTTGACAGAGCACTTGAGCAGGGCATGGTTGGCTTGCCCAGCCTATTACATCTTGACTCATGTTTGAATGTCCATTCTGGCACTGACTTTTGGTGCCCTAGAGAGGGACAAGCATTATGTCTTCCTGCTGCAAGCTGTGGAAAGTCAGTGGAATATTGTAGATGACTTTTTTACAGAAACAACTGATGACTTTAAAGAATCAGTGGAAGCCTAGGGTAAAAATGTGGGTAAATTTGGGGCAGAGGCAAGGGGAGATCAAGTATTCCATCCTTAAGACTAGAGGAGATAACAGAGCCATGGGAAGAAATTCCTTGGGCAGCAGAGCCCTAGGGGGAACAGGGAGAGGGCTGGGATATTTAGTGAACTGGAAAAAGGCAGGAGTTAAGGCAAAGGAGAGAAGTGAAGTTGGGAGGAGGTGCCCTCCTGCTCAAGTCCCTATTGTAGATTCTCTTAGTGTCTTCAAATCTTAGTTCAAAAGACAGTAAAGCAGGGACTTCTGATGGATTCCTCAGGCTGGCAGAACTCTTGAGTAAAAGAGGATTAATGATCTAGGTCCTAGCACCTGGTAAGTTTAGGACATATTATCAAATGGATGAATGTAATACCGTAACTGATTTTATGATCAGTTTTTTAAATAGTAGGCATGTATATGGATGGTAAGTAATATGAGAAAAAGGGAAAACAGATGACTTTCCCCGCGGGCTCCTCACTCCACATCCACACTAGGTCCATGTAAGAAACTCTGGTTAGGGCTAGTCAGAGTAGCGGAAACCACGGAAGACTGGGAATTACAAGAAAAGTCTAGAGGGAGAAAAGAAAACCAGTGGAATAATTTTCAAAAATAGCTAATTCATGGATTTGTAAATTATTTTAATTTAGTTACTATGCAGTTGAAACAGAAGTCGGCATAATAGTAGCTTCCCCACATTCTGTTGCATAGTCAAGGCAACACACAGGGGATTGGGTCAGGTACCCCACTGGGCACTTCCTGTTTCTCCCCCCCATATCTCCCCCAGGTGAGAGAGCTTAGTTAATGCATATGAATACCCAGCATTGGCTTTGAGGGCAAAGAAAGCACAAAAGGACACTCTGAGCCCTATGTGATGTGACTTGAGTGTGATCTACCCATTCTACCCAAGTGCCTTCCGGGAAGTCTATGCTTTTGAACTTCAGGTCTTGAGTACCCACCCACCTGGAGCCATGTACCTTGCATTTACTCCCTCAAAGCACGTGGCTTAGTTTATTCGACTCTAGCACTAGCTTTGCCTGTAACCTTAGTGCTCTTTTCTGGAAAAAGATTTGGTGAAACTTACTAAATTCAGACCAGTTTGTGCCTTAAGAAGTTGGTTCATTTGGGTTTATTTTATTTGTTAAAATAGGAGATCTACCGCTATGGATCAGTCATTTTGTGAAACCTTTCCCCGCCCCATCTTTCTTTGTAAGCCAAAGCAATTTTGTATCACCCAAGCAACAAAGTGATTTACGAAATGAAAGAGAGAGACAATCTATTCTAATGGTTAAGAGGCGATAAAAAATATTTATGTGTGCCTGGCTGATGTTGACTTTTGGAGAGAGCGTTCACTTGTAAACTCAAAGCTGGGGAAAATGAAAGATGAAAAAGCCAGCCCTTGGGGTTCTAATTCTGAACACAGATCTTCTTAGGAAAAAAAAAAAAAGTCATTGTTTTGGTTTCAGATTCTGCATTTGTCAAGCGAAGTTATTAGCGTGGCCTCTGTCAGCACTGCTGGGCAACGTTCTAACTGACTTTCATAAGGCAGATTCTCAGACCCAGGGCGTGGAGGTTGGCGGTCTGGGGAGAGGCCGTGGGGGCATGCTGGCGGTTTCCTGGGGCACGCACCGAGCGGGGGTAGGGTGGGATGTTGAATTTGAATTCTTCCTAGGCCTCATCTTTTCCTTTTATCTTCCTTCATCTCTCAAATAATAATGCCCTCGTGAAGCAAAACATTTTCTAAATGAAACAGCAGATGGTTATATAGGCTCGGCTCCTTCTCCTGCTGACATCTTGTACCTTGCCGAACCCGACCTGCAGCCCAGGGTTGGGGGTGCGGAGACTTGGGACCGATGGGTCGGATGGTAATTCGCGTGCACCCCAGCGGAGGAATCGGTGGTAAAGCTCTGCTCCGTAATATTTGTACGGAAAATGCAATGTTTGCACAATAAAGCTCTCCAGATTTTTTAAGCCGTAGGAGTGAGCCCAGTCTACAATCAAGGAGAACAGGTTTCCCGCGCCGCCATTACCGCAAATAGTATCTTATCTCAGCAAAACGGTGGCAGTCAGCAGGAGGGCCAACGGTGCAGATTTTAATCAGAAAATTTAATTTTATATACAATTCACAGTTTGTGCACGGTGAGAAATGTTTCTCCCTGCGTGAACTTCCAGGACTGGCTCTGAGCAAAAGGAGTTTCAATTTATGTAACGCCTTTCTCAGCAAACAATGCCCCAAAGCACTTCCTCCTAATATATGGCTCGCGCTGCTCGGAAAGCTACTGCAGCAGTCTTTCTTAAAATTACCCAGGATATTTATTTGGAGCAATTAAAAGAAGCACTGCGTTCCACACAAATCCGTTTTTAATGCAGACATTAAACCGGCCGCCTTTTCAACGCCGGCTCTCTGCGAGAACGCCACCGTCTTGCGCGCTCCGCCCAGATCTGCTCCCTTGGAAGGCAACTTTCCGCCTGGGCTCATTTCATTTTCCCGGTTAACTTGTAAACTCTCAGAAGAGAAGTCTATAATGGACATGTTGACAGGGCCTTTCCGTGAAGGGCCCGGGGTTTGGAGGTGCTGAGTTTCAGGCTGGGCCCAGGAAGTGGTGGATGCCCGAAGGACAGGAGGGCCACTCGGCTGTCCCGTAGGTGACCCAGAGAAGCCCGTCCTTGATTAATGTGCTGCTCTTGAGCGTGGACTGGAGCTTCAGGGTGCCAGCCTGCTTTCTCTGGAAGGGTGGCAGGACCCACTCCTCTCTGTGGGGGTGCGGGGCTATCACACACATATTTGGTAAGAGCAGGCAAAGACAGTCAGAGGGAGGAGGCAGAGGCAGAGCGGGGAGGCAGAGGCAGAGGGAGAAGGCCATGGCCAAACTTCTCAAGGCACAACCTTCCCATCTGCCAAAGGGACAAGAACTCATAATTGAGTCATCCATCCCAAGGTCCAGTGGGAGGAGGTAATGAGAGTGGCTTCAGAAATGGAAAGTCTTGGGTAAGTCAGCCCCGCATTCAGAGAAGATGGAGAAGGCAGACACGTGGGACACCATCTGCCTGGTCTTGCCCCTGGTCCCTGCCAGGAGAAGACACCCTCTCTGCTAATGGGAGCTAAGTGCCCCCTCTATTGTACCCTAATAGGGGCTGTGATGGAGTCTTTGCATGCGCTTTGGGGATTTTCTCACTCCCCATCCTACATCTCACTCCCCAGCCTACACCCTTCCCCGCTGGTGGAGCCAATAGGACCTTGAGTTCATGGACAGGTAATTCTGTGTTGGGGGGAGGGGATAACAGTGGCTTAAACAGGAGTACCCCAGCCCTGTTTAATGTTATGCTGGGACCCTGGGGATGAAGTCATGAAGGGACTGTGCCTGGCTGCTGGGAAGACAGAACTGGACTTAACAATAATGGCATCTGCCATTTCCTGGGAGCCGACTCTAGCACGGCGGCCGGATTTACTTACGTGCACTATCACATTTAATCTTTGTAACAGTTGAGAGACTTAGCTGAGGCCACAGAGTTAGCTAGCAGCCGTGGACCCACAGGGGAGGGCAGAACAGGACCCATTCCGTGAGTGTTTTTTCAGGAGTGGCGTCTGGCAGGGCATTTTGGGAACTGGCTTCAGTGGTGGGAGCAGCCCCGCAGCCCGGGGCTGGGAAGGCAGTCCAGTGTACCCCATGGAAAAAAACAACCCCGAGGCCAACCAGAAGAGAAGTTTCAGGCCAGAGATACAACAGGCCTTGGTTAGTAGTCCATGCCTGCGGCTCTGTTTGGAAAATAATTTAGAGCCTGAATCTAGATTCAGTTGGAAAGGATGTTGAGGTTGTTAGCAATCTGTCCTGGACCAGGAATAAAGGAGTAGTGGTTGTTTAGAACGAATTTGCAGTCCTGGTTTAGGTATCTCGGCTTTTAGGATATTTTTCATTCGGCCAAAGGCTTATTATTTTCCACAAGCAGATAGGAATCTCACCTCTCCTTCCCTTCTTAACCTTCGTCCACAGCTTTGGAGTTGCATTTGGTCAAGCGTCTTATCTTGGGGAGAATAATCTTGAGCAAAGAGAAAGCCAAACACAGAGTTCTTAATGAGAGCTTAAAATTCAAAGAATACAGGAAAGACTGATTTCACATATATTTATCATGATTCTTGGTACGAGCTTGGCACTATTCTGAGTGTTTTACAGATATGAACCCGATTCCTCCTCCTAACAATCCTGTAAGATAGGGCTCAGCTGTGTCCTCATTTTACACATGGAATGATTAAAGCCCAGAGAGGCTACGCGTCTTGTCTAAGGTCACACAGCTTTGTGAACTCAAGCAGTCTGATGCCAGGGTCTGTATGATGAAATCACAGCGCGCAGCCTCTCCGCAGGGTATGTATTTCGGTTTTGCTTTCCGCGTGGTCTTGTGCTTTCCACGCTTCATGCTTGTCCTCTGGACCAGACTGTGAACGTTTGAAGGAAGGGATTAGGTTTTACTGTGTGGGAGCACCTGAGACAGGAGGAGCTTCAGGAGGAACTAAAGCAGGAATACTGTATGATCTTAGGACTCAGTTACATTGGAGTCATTCTCTATCTGTGGGTCTGGCTCCCATCAGCAGAGTGAGCTGCTCAGGGCGGGACCCTGAGTTATACATTTTCATATACCCAGCATCTCACACAAGACAGGGAACAGCTTTCCTTTGGTTCCCAAATTCATTAACTGATCCCTTGATTCCCTCAGCAAAAACTTATTAAGGGCCAGCACCAGAACGAACGAGTAGCTACACCTTCTGTCTCTGTGGTTTCAATTCTTACTCACAAGAGTGTGTGTAAAAAAAAAATGATGTTGCCATTTTTGAAATGGGACACATTTGTCTATCACCAAAAAAACCCACGCGGTTCCTTGTCACTGCAACTTACCATTTCCTTCCTTATCGTAGCATGAGATGAAATCAAGTTGCAGGTCGTTATTTTATTCCAATTTTACTTACCAAAGGCATCGGTTGCACGTATTAGTCAGATCTAATACTTACAGTTAAGGGAAAGCCCTTTTGGTGTGGAGCTGATGGAAGAATGATCAGGCTCTCACAATGCAAGGTAGGGTCGTTCCTTCCCCTTTTGTTCTATGAAGAGCTTCAAGCATTACTACGTGATGACAGATAGTACTTGGCTTCTGGTATTTCTTTGAAGGCCTGCCTGTAGCGTGCTGCTTGGAAGCAGGAATGATTCCACAAATGGCCAGGGAGCCATTTCTAAACCGCCCTTCACACCAGGCCCAGGTGTGTAAACAGAGCAGATGGGCCCTTGGCCCTGGAAGGCGGCGCGCCGGAGCGGAGTATTAGAGTTTGCAGAATCCATTCTTCTCTCTCCGAGGCAGGAACTCCAAAATTCCCTCAAACCGTTTTTCTCCTCTGAAGCTGCTAATTGCGTCAGAGATCCTTCCTTGTGGAGTAGGAAAAGGGTCTTCCCAAGTCCCCACAGGGAGTGGGTGCCAGAGTGGGGACTGGGTCTCAGGTACTTCCTTGCAAATCTTGGGTGGCCGTCCACCATCCAGCACAGCTAAGCCCGTCCTCCCTGCGGTGCCAAGTGGTCTCGGTGGCCAAGTCAGAAGGAGCCCCTTGGAAGCCCCTGCCCAGAGTCTTGTAGCGGGATGTTTTGGGTCATGTAAAGACTATCTGCTCGGGCCTCTCCTCCTTCCAGGGTCTTCTTCGTGTGACCCTATATAACCATCAAAAGAACTTTTCAATGG